CTATGATTGCTCCATATGATATCTATGAACATATTAATGGATGGTCGAATGGAGGTATGTAATGCGGAACTGTGGATGTCTAGTAGACATTTATAGGAGATTACATAGACATCTAATAGAGATTTCGAATCTCCATGATGGACATCTAGTGGATATCCATTAGAGCTTTTTGTTCCGTGTGGGTATATTATAAAGACAAATGTTTCGACCTATATTAGGCCTTCATCAGGCCTTTTTACAGATGTCTTTAAGACATTTGTGCTACCTGGGTACACATATACATATGTACGAATGCATTATTTTATTAATTCCGTTAAAAAAAGTACATTTTTTGCGGATAAAAGAAAAAAAACTCTTTTTTGATTGTTTTTTAAATGTTTTTTTGTCAGAAAAATAACGTTTTTTTGATCGTTTTTTAAACGTTTTTTTATCGGAAAAATAACGTTTCTCTTAACATATTTTGGGTTGACATTTTTATCAATGAGAAACATTTTTTAGAACCGTTATGAAACGTTTCAAAGAAACATTTGTGAAACGTTTCTGAAACGAACATGTGCTATTGGGATTTTTAATTATGATTTATTTATTCAAACAAATTAAATAACCAAAAAAATGTAAAGAATGGATTTAATATAATATTAAAATAATGAAATAATAAAGAGCCAAAAAACCAATGCTTTCACTACCGTTTATTAAATCAATTTCAAGCGATTTCTGATTATTTATCTTTTTAAATATTACATAACTCGTATTTAGGACATTCAGGACCAAATCAGGAAATAGAAGAAAAGTTAAGAAGATTTCAATTTATTCAACAAAAAATGATTATTACTTTAATGCTATTATGCATTTTTCTTATATTATTGTGCCATTATCTTATTCATCATGGAAGATTTTGGCAACTTATCGATCAAATACCAGGACCACCGGCATTCTTATTAATCGGCAATACTCTTATGTGGTGCTGCAGTTCATTAGGCAAGTAAAATTATGTACATTTACAAATTAATAAGTAGCATTTACAAAAAAGTATTTATTAGTAAAATACAAAAATATCAATAATATTGATGATTTGACACAATACTTTAACGTTTACGGTAACAATAACGATAACGTTAATAACGATAATCATAAAATTATCAAGCATAATAATATATACAATATTTTTAGAATTTATAACATTTAATTAGATTTCCTTTTATTTTTTATGCAATAATATTTATTATTTTTGATCATTATATATTTTTATTTTTAATTTTCAATAAAATTCTCTCGTGAACGATCTCATTTTCAATTTTTCTTTAAATATAAATTAGTAAAAAATGATAACGCAAAAAATCAGATAATTTATTATAATCAATAATATTTGTATCAGAATTCGTAACAGTAAACAAGATAAAGATTAATTCTAATACAGTCAATCAATGGCGCATATATAGAAATAATTGATTGTAATTCTTTAATAATTATCCAGTAAACGCAAAGTAACAGTAACGTAACATTGATGTTATAATTTTCCACTC